CTTTATAAGAAACTGTCAAACTGACCTCCAAAGTGGTTACACCATTTTATATGCATGTATGAGAGTTCTAGTTTAGTTCATCCTCATTAACAATTGGCATTGCCGATCTTTTAAATTTACATTTCTCTGTTGACTAATGATGTTGAGCATTTTTTAAGTATTAGTAATTTGTATATTTTTTATGAAGTATCGTAGTCTTTTTCCATTTTTCAAATTGGGTTGATTGTCTTTTTATTAATGATTTGTAGGAGTTCATTGTATATTCTGAATCTGAGTTCTTTATCACATAAATTTGTTGCAGATGTTTTGTTCTAGTCTATGACTTGCCTTTTCCTGTTTTGTTTTGTTGTTGTTTTTTAAATATTGTGTTTTATGTTTTATTAGATTTGTGTTTGAGCTTTGAAAACAGACTTGTTCCAAAAAACCTGCTAGTTAAAATAAAATGAATTGTTATATAAATTGAAACCTAGTGATATTTTAACTTAAATGTAACTTCTTTTAAAAATTTACTATCATTTTAAGGAGGAGCAGTTTTAGACCATTAAAGTAGCTCTAAAATTCACATAACAAACCAAGAACTTACAGTATTTTAAAGTGAAAACTATACTAAAACACATTTTGATAATTTACCTAACAGGCTTGTTACATTTTTAGTTTGGGCAATTCACATTGTTTTTACTTCTATCTTCTTAAATCAGTTAATAATATTTCTATAGTTAAATGCAATTTATAATAGCATTTTTGTATGCTTCTATAGGAAGTTGACAAGATGAATTTACATATGTGTAGGAATATTTTTATTTGGAAGAATTAAAATGATGTGAATGCTTAAATGTAACAGTTTTGAGGAATTAAATGGAACAATTTTAGTCTCCACTGCATTGGTCACAGGCTAAGGGCATGCTTTCTGAATCAGGCTCACTGTAGCTAAACGCTTGCACCAGAAATAGGACAATCACATGTCCTTCTAGCCATAAGCTCTTTTGCAGATGACATTTTTAATATTGTGAGCCTACCTTAGTTTTAACAATCTGTTTTTGTACCAGCTGCTGTATTTTCTCCATCCTTCTCAAATCAAAAGGAGATCAATGGATTTGAGGTGCATCAGTAGAATCACTGGATACAGCCGAGTCATTTGAGATTTGAAGTCTGATAATGCCCTAATTGGTACAAGGAGATTTCGGATGTCCACAGTAGTCTTGAATTTATGTACTGGATGTTACTCAGATTTTAATTTCCTTGTTTTTCTTTGAAACTTTACTCTGTATATTGTTTGTATATTTTGGGAATTTTGCTTCAGACATTTGTGCTACTTTAAAAGATAATAGTGTGCTGTCACTATATTGATTTTTACAAGATGAATTTCTAATTATATTATGTATTAGTAGTCACATTTTATTATTCACTTTAGTAACTAAGAACTTTGAAAGCACTTTGAAGCATCCAGAATAAAGAGTCCTACGTGCCACCACTTCAAGGACATAAGGGCAGTTTTAAAAGCCATTGTTGTTACCTTCGCCTCATGTATGTGCTGTTGTTCTGGTATTAGAAGATTCCTTTTTTAAAAAAAAAAATAGATATTAATGCTTCAAGTGTTTGGCTGTAACTCTAAACGAGCATTATCAGGGATTTGGTATGTAGAAATCATCTACCTAGTTCAACTCCTTCACTTCAGAGATCTGGGAACTGAGGCCCAGAGTTTTTACAGGTGCCCTGGCTCAGTGCTTCTCAAACTGTCTGTGGTAGATAATCATTTTTTCTTCCTATCCCCAATGCATGGCAGGCCAATCATTTTATAAACTATAATAAAAATGAAGTACTAGAAAAAGTAATTTTAAAATGACATGTGTAGTTCTAAATGCTTCCTCTTAATTTCTGTGTTTATCTCAATGTAGGTGGATTACAAAAAGTTCTGGGACCAGAATAGTCCATAGACTTCACTTTGTCCTAGTATATCACTGCCTAAGGTCGGGATTGGGAAACTATGATCAATGGGTTACATCCAACTTGTTTTTATGTATGTCCTGTAAGCTGAGAATTATTTTTACATTTTTAAGTGATTTTTGAAGACTTACAAAGTTTTGCGACACATGAAAATTATATTCATATTTCAGTGTGTTTCAATAAAATTTTATTGAAACAGTCACACATTCTTTTAAGTATTGTCTGTGGCTGCTTTTCCCCCTTAATATTGGGGTTGAGGCAGGGATGAGTAGTTGAGAATGAGCCCTATGGTCTGTGGAGCCTAATTATTACTGTCTGGTCCTTTACAGAAAAGGTTCAGATCTGAAGATCTGGCTTTAGGACAAAATTAGTAGTTAGTGATAGAGTTGCGCGTACAAGCAGGGTCTACATTTTTTAAAATGTGTTTTAAATATTATTATTAGCTGATACATATTATACCACTTTTGTTTTCATTTAATCCTTTCAGTAATCCCTTTTTATAAAAGTTTGGTAAGTTTAGATCCCTCTGATCTAGTTTTAGATACCTTTCTTGCTCCTAAAAACTCTTAACTCTGTTGGTGTGTTATTGTTTTTTAACTCATATGCGGTGAATTAAAAATGGTTAGCTATTTTCTAATGTGGATTTTGTTATCAGCATCTGGTTCAGAATATTCAGCTTCTTCTTCCCTGTTGCACATTACTCTACAGTGGATGTTTCTGTGTTCAGGTCCAATGAAAGAGTTAGGTATGACTCAGAAATCTTCAGAAAAACATTATTTCTAGTAAAAAGATTGCTCCTTTAAATATCTGTCACCTAAAGAAAAGCAATACTGCAACTAAACTTTAATGGCAGGTTTCTGTTGCAAAATAGGAAAGATATAATAGGTGAGGTCCTGGTTACAACAAAAAAGATTGAGATTTTAAGTGACTTTTGGAGGAACAACAGGCTTTCAGTGTTAAGATTTTGTGTATGCCAGGAGAGAACAGGTGTATGCCTCTACCACTCATTAAGCTGCAAAACAAAAGTTCCATCATATTGTTGTCAAGCCAATATGTCAATTAACATATTGCTTTATTTCTTTTTTTTAAATATATTTTTATTGATTTCAGAGAGGAAGGGAGAGGGAGAGAGAGATAGAAACATCAATGATGAGAGAGAATCATTGATCGGCTGCCTCCTGCACATCCCCTACTGGGGATCGAGCCCACAAGCCAGGCATGTGCCCTTGACTGGAATCAAACCCAGGACCTTTCAGTCCTCAGGCCAACTCTCTATCCATTGAACCAAACTGGCTAGAGCTATTTCTTGATATATGCAGTAAAAAACTGCTTTTCATGGTAGCTGTTAATTCTTTGTTTTCCTGCCTTTGTATGTGATCACTCAGCAATATATTGCTATAAAGATATAGCGATAGCTGTCAGCTTTACATTTGATACATGAGTCACTTCATGATAAGGACCCTTTAAAAGCTGAATCTTGATGTTGGGGTTTCTTCCTGAAAAAAAAAAAAAAAAGAAATTATTGCTGTGAAAGCTTATTCATTATGATGAAAGTAGCTACAGTTTGATATTGTGTTACTTGCTATTTTATTCTACTTACTCTTATCTGAATTTGTAAACAATAATTATGTTCTTGCTTAGTGAAGAATAAAATAAATGAGAATAAAATAATATAGAAAGTTTTGGCAAAATCTCACTGTATCTTTTCAAGCCATGGCTAGTTCTTCTTCCCCAAATCTGAGATTGCCAAAGATTTAATGCAGGAGATGCTGGTAAAGACTGCCCAGCAGCTGTGTCCTAATTCTAGATAGGGCTCTTCCTTTGTATGTTATAACAAAGTCATTGACTAGATTGCTGTGCATTAAAGAGAGATGAAGTGCTTAATAAATAGCAGGACTTATTTAGTAACAGAAGAGGATCACCTTCCAAATATTCCAAAAGAATGTAAGTACTTTAACATGGAACTGTTAATGAATAAAAATTTGGGACTCATGAGCAGTAGGTGTTTTTAGACATTATATATAACACATTTTAAAATATTTATTTGAATGAAATATTTCTGTTTTGTTTTAAATTTATGCTACAGTATAGTGGTAAGTGGTAACAACTGTTCTCTCCTGGCATACACAAAATCTTAACTATTTGAATTAGTAGAATAACTTGTGATTGAGCTTTGCTTATTTGGGCTAGTTTTTAATATATTTATTAGTTTAACCATTGGTTGGGTCTTCTCCCCGGCCCCACATATCAGATGTAGTTAAGAAATGTTTGGAGTTAACAAATTATTATATCTGGATTTTACTTAAACATTGATTGTCTTTTAGGAGCCCCCATTATGTAAGCTATCTCTATAGCTACTTTCTACCCAGTACAGCATGTTCCACATTTATTCCTTAGCATTCATTATAGTGATTGAGTTTCTGTTTTTAAACACTTTCGGTAGAAAGAATTAGTGTAGAAGGCAGTTCCTTTTTTGCAGCTTGACTGCAGGGGACCAGAGTTGCATGCATTACTATGTCTGTGAAACTTCTTGGAAGCAAGCCAGTATGTTAGGGTGAGAGATTCATATGTGAGCGGTGAGCCACTAAAAGGCTTGCACAGTATTACAACTCTTCTGAGAAGAGGAAGTGTTAGGAAATTCAGCAGTAAAGCAGCAGCAGCAACAGCAACAAGCAGCCACAGTGGAAGTAAAGCTAGGGCAGGTTCACTGTTAGCGTATTGCACAGTGTGAGGCAGCGAGCACACAGCTCCCCATCCTGCTGCCAGAAGGAGGCAAACCCAAACTGTCTGTTGCAAGATTTTTCTGGTTTCGTGTTTATGATGTTAAGTCATGTGATAATACTGTACCATAACTTGCCAACTTTGCTCGACTCTAGAGAGGATCCTTTGCTGCAGTGCTTTCCCCCCCGTTATTTTTCTTTCTTCTTTTTTTTTTCTTGAAAAAGAAAAAAATTGTGCAATGTATGTGTATGCCTACACCATGCCGAGACGACACTTACCAGTAAATAATCTTTGTATCCCTGAGGTAAGATACTGTTTCTGCTTTCCCTGCACAGTGCTGCTGCAGCACGGAGCAGATCCAAACATTCGGAACACTGATGGGAAATCAGCCCTGGACCTGGCAGATCCTTCAGCAAAAGCTGTTCTTACAGGTAAGAAAACCGAGAGCTACTGAATTAGTTCATCTGTGGAACTACTGGCTTGATTTTAGAAAAATCTTTATGCACTGAATTTTATTTGTTTCTACTGATTAAGCTCAACAAAAATATGTGCCATTATCTCTACTTCATTATTGATTTGGTACATTAACAGTCTCATTTAATTGCTATGCTTGCTCTTACAAGCATTAAGCAATAGGATTGTTTATTCTAGTTAGAATTTCTGAGAATTATAGCATTGAATGGTAGCATATGTTACTCACTAATATTGTAGTCATTTTTTATTGTTTAGATCATAATTTTCTTGTACCTCATCTTCTAGTTGACTCTTTTGAAGACCTTCACTATAGAGCAAACAAGGGCATTTGTATTACTTTATAAAAGTAGTTTTGATTGGAAAGACAACCTGCTGCCGTATTACTTAAATTGATAGTTAAATAAAATATGATGCTGCTTTTTCCTTGCCACCCTGATTATATTTTTGTTGCATCTTCTCATTTTACCATGTTACCTAACTACTTTTTAACTGAGGCAATGTCCTTTTTACTTCAGATAATGAAAATTTGGGGCTTAACTATTGGTTTTATTAAGACAAATGTCAAGAATCAAAGAGGAAATGATATCTCATAATTTGTATAGAAAATAATGCTATAAGTAATATGGCATTGAGCAACTGTTTTCATTGATCTTCATTCTCAAAATGCTGCATTGGATCTATTTTTGTTTTTATTCTTAGCATCTGAGTTTTGCTGCCTTTGCCTTCTTTTACTTAACTGACCTTTGTAATTTGGAGCCTCTTAGTCACTGCAGTGCTAAGAGTATTGTTTTAGTGCTTGTGTGCAAGTAAATGACTTTTTGCTTCATTTAAATTTGCCCGTATTTGAAGAAAAATTGTTTTGTTCACTTTTAAGTTTGGTGTCATGCTGTGAATTTTAAACAAAGATTCTGAGGTGAATGGAAAACATTTATATACAGAAAGCTTTGAAAAAATGCGGAATTCTGGTTAATTATTCTGTATAGAAGACAACTTCCCACTGTGCTAAAATTAATTTAATCTCTGCTAAATCAGAGTAATATGATTTTTCTCAATTAAAAGGTTAGGTGATTGGGATACTGAATCAAGATAACATACACTAGAGAAATAAAGCTATTTTAAACCAGTGTAGATAAGAAAAAATTTAAATATAATTATAAAATTTAAATAATGAAATTAAAATATATAGCCTCAGGCTTGCTTAGGCTCTGCAGCCTTTCAGTGTCTTATTTTAACAAAGCCCTGAAAACAATCGCAGTTTTGGATTGGTCTCTGACGAAAGGAGAAATATGGTTCAGAGTAATGGAGGAGGTAGATTACAAATGCTGACCGTGACTGTCTCTATATCTGAGTGTCCTCCTTCTGACCTTTCCTTCTCTTCAGCCCTCAACACCTGTCTTGTCCATTTGTTCGATTCATTTAATGCAACACTGCTTTTCGATCCACTTATATTTTTCTAAGAGAAAGTTTTAAATATAAGTTAATTAGCAAGGAGAAGCTACCTCCTAATTTGGAATGGATTTTAGGGGAGATCATCTTGGCTGTTAAAGTTTGGGAAAGAGCTGTGGCATAATACGTCATGGAAACTGAAGATTCCTGGGAAGCAGATACTATATATGTTAGACTTGATTTGAAAAGCATCTATCACTGCACCTTGCTTAGATAAGGACGATATTCATTCGTCTTGGTCATAATACTGTTCATTAATTATTCTTTTCAAGAATATTTACTTTTTTTGGAAATGACATACAACTTTTCAGTTACGATTTAAAAAAACATTCTAGAACATTCTGGTAATAGTCATTACCTTTGTGGAAAATATAAGCTATTGATATTTACACATTCATGTTATATAATGTAGTGAAATAACACTTAAGTGAAATGTATTTCCAAATGTATTTCTGCCCATGCAGGTTCTCTTCTAAGCAATTCTTTGGAATTATAGTGAAGGTACTATTTCTGAAGCTAAATTTAAAAGATTAAGCATTGATAAAAGGGAATCTTTTGAAAGGAATGACTTAGAGTTATTAGAGACTAGAGGCCCGCTGCACAAAATTCGTGCAAGGGGCTCAGCTCCCCCTTCCCCCCTCCCCGCCACCGCGGCTTTGTCCGGAAGGTCTTCTGGTCTAATTAGCATATTATGCTTTTATTGTTATAGATTATTCTGGATGATGTGTCATTATTTTTATGGCAGATTGAATTGTGGCACCATTACTTACCTTATGAGTGAAGTTTCTATTCTTCATAGTTACATGAATATTCTTAAAAGGCATTAAGTATTCTTCTGCAACATGAATTTATGACGACTTTATAATATCCTTCTATGGATATATTTTAGGTTATTTTTAGCCAATCCTCTAGTGTTTACCATTTAGGTAGGTTGTTTGCTTCCTTGAGAATTTGTCACTTTATCAATTCTATAGGAATTGTACTTCTTTACCATATTCAGTCTTAGCATCTACAAACATGTTATATCTCTCCATTCCTGGCTGGCATGTGTAGGATTTGGAGAAGGAGGAGCTTCCTTTTTATGGGCTGCAATGCTTCGTGGTATTATTTTGGGAGAGCCACACTGAAGATAAATGTGGTTGACAAAGGCAATGCTTATTGAAGAGAGTAAAGATGTAGAGGTGTTTGTTAATCATGTGAGGAGGATTTCTGTGGGGCACAGTGGGAATTGGATCAGGAGAAGAAGTGACAATAGATTGAGTCTGAGAGTTTGAGAAAGGATAGATGACCAAAGCAGAACCAAGGATGACAGGGATGTAAAGTGGGTGAGTGTAGATGATCACACGGTTGCCATGATAATTGGTCCCAGCAGTTTCCTAGTAGAATTGGGGGTACAGGAGTAGGGAAGAAAGATATATTTGCACCAAGCAAATATAAGAATAAGTTTATAAGAATAAGCTTAATCTGGATTCATTGCACCTCTGAGGAAATCCTAATCTATGATTGATTGGCAGGCTCCCAGTCTTTCCAGGAAAAATCAGCTGTGGCTCAAGCTAGAGGCAGTATTGAGGGGTCAGTATGTGCTTGCTGAGCCTGGTGTGTTAAATCAACAAACTATATCTGGAATCCTACCTCTTTTTTTCTTCTCCAGTGATTCCTACTGCTTTCAGGTAACACTAAAGCCTTCAACACGATCAGTGAGGATTTAGGTGATCTGGACCCTGCCTATATAGGTTTGATTACTAGGTTTTGCTCAAGCCTAGTTTTCCTTTTTATTTCTTACACGTTGCATGTAACCTGACAGTAATTTTGGTCTACCATACTTTCAAATTCCCAGTCCCACCATTTCTTACCAGCCTCATTGCTTCAGCCCTTTACACACCTTCATCATTTTTCTTTCATGACAGCAGTAGTCTCATAATGGATCTCTGTGTCTCCACTTATACTTCATTCAGCTCTTACTATAGCTGGAGTGGTCTTTCTAAAGCATAATCTGCCCTATGATTAGAAAACCCTGTGATATATTCTCATTACCCCCAAATAAAATCCAAACTCTAACCATGGCCTACCATAATATGGCACCTGCCTTACATACCAATGATCTTGTCTTCTGTATTTGTCCTTGATTTCTGCTTCAGCTACATCTGGATGATTGCTGTTTGCTCAAACAGATGAAGCCTTTTTCTGTGTCTAGATTAACACATGCTATTTACCGAAACTGGAACACTGCCCCAGAATTTAATGTGATTCATCTGTTAAATCTCCACTCAAAGATTTACTCCTCAGACAGGGCATCTTACCCTCAATCCCATTAGTTTATTTTCTTCATGGGTTTATTGATATCTGAAGTTGCATCTTTTTTGAAAGTTATTTTTTGTTTACCCCAATAGATCGAAAGCTTTATAAGGTTTTGGACTTTTATCTGTCTTGCTTACTTTATTGTGCCCAGGACTTAGACAAGTACACAAAATGATTAAGTAAACAAATACATCTTGGGTCTGATTACTAGTAACAAGGCAGCATATTTCCCAAGTCTTACAAATACTCATGTCATATTGTAGCAGTCTATTCCATTTTCTGCTTTCCAAAAATTGTTTTGAATTGCTGATAGTCAAGTAGACCTCTTAAAACAGTGTGTTAAAAATATTTTTTAATTGGTATGATGGGTGAGGTATGTATGAGCCTTTTATCACCAGATATCTTGGATGGCTCCTTTGATTGAGAACATTTCAATTCTGAAAGGATCAAATTTTGTGCACTTGTCACATCAAACTTCCTGATGTTTGACCAGGGCCTATTTTTTACTCTTTTCTTTTGTTATTAATGCATTGTTTTGCACAATAGCTATACTACAATGTAGCATATTTCTTATCATGTATAGTGTAGTTTTACTATTACCCTACATGATTAAACATAGATTTCTCGTGTTCTTAATTTTAACTTTAGAAATTATTGTTTATCAGTTATTAGGAAGCCTAAAATTACAGCATTCTTCCTAGAAAAGAAAGCGTAAGAGGTAATACCTTAGTTTTCAAGAAAAGCTGTACATCTCTCCATCTCAGTTTTATCAGGGGAAAATTATTGTTATATCAGCATGAATTTCCTTTTAAAAATTCCCTTTAGTACTAGGCAAGAAAGTTAAAACTTGTCATTGCAATAAAATAGTGTGAATACTCATTTTAAAGATAGATTGTAAATGTTAATCACCTAACTGTTAAAGTTTTATTAATGGTTTAATCTGTCTATAATTTTGGACATGAATAGAAAAATTTAAGGTTTTATTATCAAAAGTTATTGAAACACTTTTTGAAACCTTAAAAATATGAAAATAATTTAGAAGAGGAATAAAAAACTAGTACCTTTTTAAAAGACTATATAGGACTAGGTCACATTAAATTAGCACCTATTTAATTTGTTTAGTAGTTTAGATGTGTTTGTGGGTGTGTGTGTGTTTGTGTTTATTTCTGTTGATTTCAGAGAGGGAGGGAGAGGGAGAGAGAGAGAGAAACAT